TAAAATTACTTACTTTCATTCTTTCGTTCCTACTATCATATTCACGGTCTTTCTCAAGCACATTTTGTTTTGCTGAGTATAAACTAAGTTAGTGATAAATACGAGAATAGCCACTATTGGCAGGTTCATTTAGCTCTAAGCACTAGACAAATGGCTAGGGCACGGAAAAGATTTTTGTTAAAAGATACTCCCTGCAAAACTTAGATAGACAGCAAATACGAGTCAGTCAAGTCACTGAAATTATATAATTCAAATCCTGAAAAAAAACAAGTAGGCTCAGGTGAGAGAAAGCGAAGAGATGGCCACCAATTTTGCAGAGAGTAATTTCAGCTACAATAGAAACCATTAAACTAACCCTCACCAAAGAGGCATAGATGAATTTATCTTTTCCGGAGTCCTATGCCGTAGTAAACATGCTAATTCCTAACATCGGACGGTGAATTTGGTATATTTTTAGACATCTCAATTACATAGTAGTCGGCGTCGTCAGTGAGCCTTGTCACTCATAGCATTAAACTACAATTCATCATAGACAACTAAGGTTCATCTATTTACAAACTTTCTGATAAACAGTTGTGGTATTTCTAGACAAATTAGATTGCTCAAGATTATATCGGCAACTCGGAGCAGAAGTATATTTATGAAACAGCATGAAAAATCAGTCTACAAACCAAGAAAACCTGAAGAATCTGCAAAATAATGAATGGGAAAGATAAGAAATGTAGAAACACATGGCATGGATTGGACAGGGTATTGACTGCAAGGCAACAAAAACTAGGAATGGATATTTTAAAAATAAAATAAAATGCGAGATTAGCCACCGATATCCTGATTGTATGAAATCCAATGAAAGGGAAAATAAAAGAAGTTGTAATAAGCAAATACATTACATATTGCTTAGTCAAACTAGGAGGAGATAAGGAGACAGCAAGATCAGCAAAAATAAAACGAATAAATCAAGGAATTATAATGAAAATGAAAAGATTAATCTCAAGATAGAGGTCTTCAAAAAACAAAGAGATTTATTATAAAAGCAGATGAAAAGCAAGTATTAAAACTGATTTATTCCTCAAAAGAGATATGTACTTCAGCCGTTGCCATAGAGGCAACAAAAACTGCCTAATTAAAAAATAAAAATTGATTATCAAGGCCATTATTTACCTAAGCTGCATTTTGTGGAGATGAGCTCTGAAAGTCTACATCTGATTGAGTAGCTCAATAGGCCTGAATATTCTACGTGAAAATTTAAGTAGTGCGCCCACCTTAAATTGACACTATGGTACAGTTAACAACACCAGTCCTGCTGCTTACCCTGATGGAAGAGCCGCACACAGTCCAACAGTTTTGTCTCTTTGGCCTGAAGATCGGCCTTAGCTTCAGTCCAGGCAAGACGAAGCCTTTTGTAGTCAGCCTTTAATGATACAAGGCGTTGCATCACTTCAAACTCGTTTTCCGTGGGGATGGAATTTCCCTCCTGAGTATAAAGTAAACCTGAATTGAAAGCAATAAAGCGCATAAAACAGATGAATGATAAGATGTAAATATTTGTTAAACATGCATATTCATCATTCTAAGCGTTTTAATATGCTCGCTTAGATCAAGGTAATTTATGCACTGCTACTTGAATGCCTAAAAATTAGCAAGGATGCAAAATCCCAATTAAGCATTCGCTACTTTAAATCCAAGAAGGCACATTATCATGACATAGTGAAACTGTGCTGTGGAATTAAAATAATATATGTGGCGAATTCATGCAAAAACCAAAATTTTAAACATGAACTTCACATATTTTCTCTGAACACAACTTTAACACGCTATTTAGTCTTAGCCTAAAGCTACAAAAATGCCATGGCAATGATACGAAAAATGCATTTATAGATATATCTTCTTCCGTTCTTGGGGCTATTATAAATTTTTAAAAAGGCAAAGAAAGACAAAGAGACAATTTGTAGTTCAATGCTAGGGCTTATAAAGCTCACTGAAGATGCCAACTACAATGCCGGCGAAACGTCTGAGGATGCACCAAGTCAATAGTCGTATGCTGGAAAAAATGAGGTATTTACACAAAAGTTGTTTTGCCTATTAAATTTAATTTGGATAAATAAGTGTAAAAGTGAAATAATTATGGATTAATAACGAATAGCTAAATGAATAACTAGTATACATGTTGCGCTAAAAAGTAAGCCCGGTTAAAAATATAAGCTATATTACGAAATGTACCATAAACGTGCCACCCAAACTGCATATCTCTATGGTATCATGAGCTTAAAAGAGAAGGCAGACATGCAGAATTAATTTTTGTAGCATGAGTGAAAGTTGGTCAGAAGGAATTCGTGATGTGACTCCACCGGAAACCGAAGGAAAACATTGCAAAGATGCATTCCTTAATCAGAACTAAGACTACACTCAGGCAAATTGTATCCGATGCTATTAGTTCGGAAGACTTTCTGAAAACTAGAGTTTAGCGGTTAGTTTACATGATAAGATTTTTCGACAGGCTAGGAAGACACATGATAAGAAATTAAGGAATTTTGTATAAGAATTAGTTCAAGGGAACGACCAACGTCTAATAACTTGAAGTGTAAGGATAACCGTTGCCAAAAAGTGGTAACTCTGTCCAAAATTTCATTGGACATTTCTATTGAGGAGATCCTAACAAAGGACTTATATTTTGTCTTTCCAACTGGTAAGGACTTCAAAGAGAAATTTTGGTAAAATTAATAAGTTTAACGGATAGTTTCCTAGAAAATACTACGAGTGACATCTAACTACAAGTAGTCCCTTTAATTGATGGTCATGTAGAATTATCATATAAGAATAGGACAGTTAAGAATATTATAAGAAAGCTTAAGGCAAACAAACAACTAGTAATTAGGGCATACAAAGGAGGAGCCGTAGTAATTATGGATAGAACTGATTATAAAGAAAAAAATGATAGAGGCATTAGATGATGATACAGCATTAAGACTATAATTAGAGACCCGACCGAAGGCTGTAAGGTCAAACTTAAGAGTCTTCTGCAACAATGTGTAAACTGGGGAGAACTGAAAAAGTGGAAAGTGAATACACCTCTAGCGAGATGTTAGACCCCCAAATGCGTATGGTGTGCCCAAAATCCATAAGCAAGGTACACTAACATTGCGATAGACGAGACAATTAAGCTCTATAAGTAACTCTAGGTCAATATCCTGAAATCATAACAGGTAGAAAGTCAAGCAAAGGTTCTATCATTAGATTAGTCAATTGGGAATCTATAATACATATTTTATCTTAAATGGTAAGTTCTATGAGCAAGCACAGAGCTTGGCTATATGATCTTTTAGCATCTATTTTAGCTACGAGTTTGAAGTCTATGATAATAAGGAGTATGTGTCTAGCAGATGCAAACCATAGGGACCAGGAGGTTGGTAGATTGGATTAGTAGACATTTACATATCAATTGTAGTTAACAAGATTAGAGGAGTCTGCTACCAGGTGCGGGATAGACAACTGGACAATTCTACTTGGTTACTGATTTTGCCAACCTGTCAGCTTGCGAAAAGGTTGGGTGATCTACTCAGAAAATGCAACATAAAAACAGTGTATAAAGATAAATTAACTTTTTCTTCAGTAGTTCCTTCAATTAGAGAATATGCATACCCTCTTTCTAGATCCGGCTATTACACGGTTTTGTCGTCATGTGGTAGGGTCTATGTGTGGGAACCCTGCCGACCCATTTATAAGAGACTATGTGAACACAAGACCGCTTGTCAATGTCTATGGATCCAAAAATCTGAACTCGCTGAACAAATTTTGCCAATACCAGACACTCGATAGACTAGTCCAAAACACAAAGTTTTGCGAGTTACGGGGAATTCACGTCGAAGCGTAAGATTAGGGAGCCTATAGAAATTAACAAAACAGCCAACGTCCTGAATAGGAGAAACGAGTGGATAGACTTAAGAAAAGGGAAAGAAAGGGGGTGCAGGAAGACCCACTGAACAATACAAGGAGGCTGGATTAGCCTCGAGTCTAGCTAGAACTATCGCAATTTCCATGAAATGAGCATTACATACACGCAATAGACAATAGCACAAGCCTAGACATTATTCAAAATTGGACAATCGTACGCTAGTTTTTTGTTTAATGAAACAGCTGTTACTGAACGCACTTCCGGCTCAGGAAGTTAATTTTACGCATTAGGAAGCATGTAGAGTAAGGTTGAGGTAGCCAAACAAATCATGGGATGCCTCCTTAAGATCGCGAAGTTAGGTGCATAAAAAAGCGACTAAGGTTGTCTCCTGGCTCTATTTCGTGAAGTATGGATACCTGTTTTGATGTCTGCCATAGTACAGGTGAAAGCTTAGCACGAATTCATCGGGTTCGCAGGACGTTAAGACGAGGACTTCTTGACACAATTCAACAGCCTCCCTTACGTGATAATCCACCTTCGGTTTCCGGTGAGACCACATCACGAATTCTTTCAAACCAACATTTCCTTCGAAATGAAGAGTTATACCACAATATTTCATTAAGATATTCTTCGAAACTCAGTTTTTCTTGATATGGAGAACTAAAAACTGGAGCTTTTTTAAGGGAGAAGGGCTCCGCCAGTTCTAGTGAAACTACCAGA